AAAAAAAAATGATATATGTGCAATCAAAAATCGTGAACCTTTGACATTTGCCGGTCGATAGAACTCATCACTGTCCGGGCCGAGGTCAACCTCGTCAACGGGCTTGTAAACCACACCCCTATCCTTGAAAACACCCATAATCTAACAAGCTTTTGTGTGTGTGTGTGTGTGTGTGTGTGTGTGTGTGTGTGTGTGTGTGATGGATGAATATCATATATGTAGTTGTAAAATATATAAGAGGGGTTGGCCACAAAATAGAGAGGCCGCGGGCGTCAACAAGAAAGGACTTATAAATAAATAAAATTTATAAGTAATCGGCTAATTAGACGTACATAATAAATAGAATAGGTTAGTAGCAAATTAAGTACGAGGCGGAGATGACAAAGGAGTATTATATTGTTAAACCAAAATAGGTGAGGGCACAAATTGCAAATTAATGTGGCTGTTGTGAGCAACAAACAAACCCTACACCCAAACAAAAACATGAAACAGACATGTAAATTCGAAATGTGTGGGGTCTAAAGTGTTAATTTTAAGATTTTTTTTTTTTTTTTTTTTTGAAACGATAGATAACTATTATAGCACTGAATGTACAAAATACAATCCGGGACCCAACTGGATCCAATAATAGAGAGACACCCCAGACCAAGGTGCTCTAGAAATACCTACTAAAACAAACAGATTACACAAAAGGAAAACTAAAGATACATGCTAAGCCAAAGACATCTTTGTAACCCTTAACACTACCAATAGCTCTCCTTTGCAAAAACACACCAAAGGACAACAGCAACACCCACCTACAGACACAAGCTACAGCAGGACACCACAAACAGAGACTAACACAACAAAGAAAACTAAAGCAAGGCAAGCAACCCATAGTCTGAAAGGAACAGTAGCACCCACTGAACACAAGAACCTAGGCTCACTGCACTTCCCACAGAGCTAGTTTGTCTTCCTTGCAGCAAATTCCTGCCACTCACTCACTGCAAGCTTAGCTATGCAAGGAGCTGGCAGCCAATCTTTCTTGAAGAGCCAAAGGTTTCTGGCTTTCCAAAGCCACCACAAGATATATGTGGTGAGCTCAATTCTAGCCACAGAAACCTCAAGCTTGTTTATGGAGCACACATCATGCCACCATGTTCTGAACTTAGTTGCTTCTCCAGTAACAATGTCCCAGTGTATAGGAGAAAGTTTCCAGACCTCCTTAGCTTTTTTACAATGGAAGAAGATATGCTCAATAGACTCAGTTTGTTCTCCACATTACTGGCAGATGGCATCCACAAACAGTCCCCTCCTTCTGAGAGCCTCTTTAACAGGTAGTGCATCTGAAAAGCACTTCCAAAGAAAGTGCTTCAGCTTGCCTTTCACTTTGAGAGTCCAGGTCCTGCTTCTAATTTTCCTAAGTGATTGGGCTGAGGAGCTGCCTTCTGCTACATCAAGAAGTTTGAACTTGTCTTCCACCATTTTAGAATAAGCTTTAGCTACTGAGAAGTCCTTTCTTGCATCATTGTTCCACATCCATCTGTCTTTCTTGTGGGGTCCAGAGATTTCACATTAAGAATTTTGACACAATCCTCTGCAGAAAAGAGTTGCTTGATTAGAGGAATGTTCCAATGTCTACCTCCATCTTCCATAAGCTCCCAGACCCAATTAATATTGTCATGGAGACCATTTGAATGTCTTGATCTGGTTAAGGGAGTAGAGCTAGCCCAAGGATCCCTCCATATATGAGTAGTAAGTCCATCACCAATTTTAATTTGGAAGCAAGTTTTGTATTTCTCCTTCACAGACAACCAGGTGGCCCAAAGCCAGGAGGCATTCTGCTTAGCTGTTGCATGGAAGATACACTCAGCTGGGAAATATTTGCTTTTCAAGAACTTGCTGACTAACAGATTTGGGTGAGTTGCAACTCTCCATATTTGCTTCAGAATCAGAGCTTCATTGAGTAACTGCAAGTCATGAAATCCCAGGCCACCAAACAACTTAGGAAGAGTGATAAGTGACCACTTTTTCCAGTGAACACCTGCTGCATTTTCACTACCCTTCCCCCACCAGAATTTAGCACAAATTGCAGCAATATCACTGCAGATAGACTTTGGCAGGACAAATCATGACATAGAGAAAAGAGGAAGAGCAGAAAGGACTGAATTCAAGAGCGCTTCCTTGCCTGCAGTGGACAGAAAGATATTTTTCCAGCTTGACACTCTATTCCTGACAGTTTGGACAACATACTGAAAAGTTTGCCTTTTGGATTTGCCAACCCCAAGAGGGAGTCCCAGATATTTTGATGATTTGTGAACTTGGACACCCTGTAGGAGCTGACAGATCTCAACTTGCAGGTTAGCAGGTACATTCTTACTAAAAAAGATTGAAGATTTCAAAAGGTTAACTTTTTGCCCAGAAAATTTATTATAGCACTCCAGAACCCTCAACACAGCATGAATGGAGGCAATATCAGCACCACAAAAAAGCAGGGAGTCATCTGCAAACAACAGGTGGGACAATCTGACTCCTCCCCTGGCAAGTCTCACTCCTTTGAGATTTCCCAAATCAGTCTCTCTCTTGATAAGTCTGGAAAATAGTTCAGAGGCTAATATAAAAAGGTAAGGGGACAAAGGGTCCCCTTGCCTAATACCTTGAGAAGCATCAAAATACCCACAAATGTTTCCATTTATATTAATAGAGAAGGAAGAAGATGAGACACATTCCATGATCCAGTCAACAAAAACTATGAAATCCAAACTGAAGAAGAATAGACATCAAGCATTGCCATTCCGGCCTATCATAGGCCTTCATCATATCAAGTTTGAGAGCCAAAAAATCCTGCCTACCAGTTCTATACCTATTCAGAAAATGAATAACTTCGTGAGCCATGATTACATTGTCAAGGAGCTGCCTACCAGGAATGTAGGAAGCTTGGTTCTCAATCACACATAAATACAGGTAAGGTTGGAGCCTTGAAGCAAGGATTTTGGCTATGATTTTATAGGACACTTCACACAGACTAATGGGCCTGAAGTCACTTAAAGAAGTAGGATAAATGCATTTGGGGATGAGAGTAATAATGGTATGATTCCAGCTTTTAAGCAACATAGAGGATTCAAAGAAGCTAGACACAGCAGTGCACATATCAAATTTAATTATAGGCCAAAAATGCTGGAAAAATAGAGGGGACTTACCTGACACTCCAGGGGCCTTCTCAGGGTTCATGCTGAAAAGGGCAGTTCGAATTTCATCTTCATCAACTAAGGCTAGCAATTGCTGGTTAATATCTGAAGTGATGACCCTGGGAATAAGCTGAATAATCCTCTCTTCATCTCTTGCACCTTCTGATTTGAACAGCTTCTGATAGAACTGGCAAGATTCTGATTCTATATATGCTCTAGTGTCACACATTCTCCCTCCTTCAACAACCAGCCTTGTAATAGCATTCAACTTTCTCCTTTGAAGAGTTAAGGCATGGAAAAACCTTGTATTCTGATCACCTTCTTTTAACCAGAGATTTCTGGACTTTTGCTTCTAAAATAACTCTTCAGCACACTGAGCATCTTCCAATTCCTTTTTTAACCTCTCCCAACTGTCCCAATTCGTCCCATCACTAAGGAGTCTCATTTCTTCAAGCCGCAATGTGATCTTTTCAATTTTGATGGAATTGTTAAATTTAAAAGCATGACTCCATTTGAGCAGAGCAACTCTGGTCTTCTTGATTTTCTCTTGAAAGCAAAACATAGGAGTCCCAGAACATTGCTGATCCCAAGCATTTTTTACAACACTCATAACATCAGGCTTAGAAATCCATTGCTTGTTAAAGATGAACCTAGGCTTAGGCTTCTGCTGACTGGGATCACTGATAAGAATCATCAGGCTGATGTCAGATGCAGATTTATAGGAATTTAGCACCACAGCAACACTATGAGATGAAGACCATTGCATAGAACCAAAAACCCGGTCTAGGTTTTCCTCAACAAAGTTATCATGGGACCTGTTATTGCTCCAAGTGAACTGATGACCCTGCAAATTGACTTCCACCATACCCATTTGGTTGATAAAATTCTGAAAATTAAGCATATCAGCAAGGTTCTTGTCTCTGCCTCCTCTCTTCTCACAAGGATCCACTATAGCATTCCAATCACCTCCAATCATCCAGTCCTGCCCCCATTTAGATTTGGCATGCACAAGAAACCTCCACTGCTCTTCTCTAACAGCTCTATCAGTACTAATATATACAAAAATCAACCAAGAGGAGCTATTGCTATCAGGATTGCTGATCTCCACTTCAAAACAGAAGGAATAATTTTCTGGCTACTATCCCATAGGAGCACCAACCCACCACTGATACCAATAGGATCCACTGCAACCCATCTATCTTGAAAACCCAATTTGTGACACACTGTTTTAACAAAATCTTTTTGTTTTTAGATTCAGAAAGAAAAATGAAGCTAGGGTGGTGGATTCTTATAGAATCCTTCAGTTGGGAAACTGTAGAGGGTCCACCCAACCCTCTACAGTTCCACAAGAATGTCTTCATTGATTCACCTAGGGCCACCTGAGGCTGGCTTCCTCCACCTTAGCATTAGAACTTTTGGATTTTTTCTTGTTTCTGGCAATCAAATTTTCTTCCTCTTTGAGATGAGGTTGAGCAGTAATCAAAGCTCTTCCCCTTTTGAGTGACTCTGGTGTGTCCCCTGCTGAACTCTGAGGGTGAGTTCTAAGCAGTCTGCCTTCTTGAATCTTAGATCTCTTCCAACCCTTAATCTTGTCTGTGATTGGCTGAGAGC